TTATTATTAAACGACTTGGACTTGCAATTAAAATTTTTAACTCTATTATTAAACTATATATAAAATTGTCGATTGCAAGTAATTGTCGTTACTTTCATTCTCAAACGATGAAAAGTTACTCCATTGATTATTTATGCAATATATTGCAACTTTTATTTGACTGATTTCTGCAGGAAAAATTATTTCATGCCTAGTAATATAAGAATAAACTGTAGAGGAATTTATAACTTCAGCTTGTTCTGCTTCTCGTTGAAAGCTTTACAATCAGATTACGCAGGACGTCCAATAAATGTGATGTTTAATAAAAAGAGATTTATGTACTGTGTGCGCGGAATCATTGACCGTATCGAATCGTATAAGAATAAGAGGAGAATGAAGGAAAGGAGATGGTCGTAGGGGACAGAAGGTTCGACGAAATTTACAATTCATATCGGCATCGCGCGAATATTTAAACCATTAATCAAGGAGACCGTCGCGATGGGCTGGTATGGTGGAATATCAGCAGCAGTGGAAATTAATTGAGACCCAGTTCTGAAACTGGTAAGAACAGTTGCGAAAATGTCGCGATTTTGGAGATTTACGGAACACCTACGCCTGGCGTTATCTTTTATAATTCATATTTATGTTTGTTATTAAAGTAATTCTGCGTCCTGATAGGAAATTATTAGAAAGATTCCAAATTTCTTTGAAACAAGCATAGATAATATTTTCTTGAAATTATCCCTAAACTGCCCTATTTAGGTCAAGATTTAAAAACTGATTGTGTATAAGCTTTATACCTTAACAGATTTCTCGTTGTTTATATAATAACTAATACCCATGTAATAAATAATAAAGTTTGTATCAACTATTAAAAATCCTGTAAAATCTTAATCGTTCCATTTATGTGTCCGCCTGGCACGAGAAATGCAACGCCTCTACTAAGAATTCCGAGAGTCGAGCGAAAATGTGACGGAATATCACGGACATTTATGCAAAGAGGGCAAGAACTCGCATTACTGCCGGCACGAAATGTATTGTTCGTGATCGCGGTTGGGTTGATCGATGCCTGATGCGTGGGAAGACGGATATAACGGCCGAGAGAAGGAAGCGAGAAAAAAAAAAAACGAAAGAAGCAGAGGGATCGAGTCGGTACGACCTCGGTTAGGGTTTAAGCGTGTCGCTAATGGAATTTTCGAGCCAGGGGCCACAGAACGACACGCTCATTCAAATAAGCTGCCCTCGAACGGCCTAATCGCAACCCCGCGACGATTACGCGGAGAGGGTCCGCTCTAAATTGCGTCCAGCACGAGACTACGAAACGTAATCCGATTATATTGTGATAATTCTGGCTGTACGGTTTACGATCGCCGTTTAGCCGGCACGCGGTTATAATTTAAACGAAGGAACTCGCGACAGTAATTACCATGTTCTACCCTTAACCCTCCCTAGGGTGGCCACCATAAATCACCTCCTTAAAGGTTATCATCGCCGGGTTATATGTTATATTATGTAGTAGCCAGCGATGGAGATCGTGCGTTGAAGGACACTGAATCTAAGCATGGAATGCTTTTTATGGTACAATATTTTATATGAATTAACATAAATTAATATTTCGCACGACTTTTTAAATTAATTCAATATTTACAATCAGTACATTTAATTATCTTCCTAAGAATGATAAATTATTAAACAATATTACCTTTGCTATCGTGCCTTTATGAAAATCAAACAATTCTCTAAATGTAAAAGCGTCTGTAGAAATGAGAATCTATTTCATGAATCTCAGAATAGACTTAATTAAGAAACGGACGTTAAGAACGACCTAAGACTTTGACATTAAATCTTAAAAATTATTGTACATTGTCGGAGGCAATTAGCCACAGCTGAAAGAGGCGCCAGGCATCATTTCGGTCTTTCGAGCGCTGAATCAAGTTGTATCACTAATTGTATAGAAAGTACTCTTTACAAAGGGATCTGTGCCGCGAGGCACACCGACGCAAGAAGAATCGGCTAGATGTTAACGCGGAAGACTTTAAGAGGACCGAGAACGACGAACCTTTTGAATCTTAGTCAATTCATCCTATTAGACGATATCACGGCTGACCTGTTCCATGTAAAAGGCAGTCATTCTCCCTTCCCTCGTGGTTTTAGCTACTTTATATTCCATTCGCTTCCATCGCGGAAACGGAAACAAGGAACAGGTCAAAAGTAGCTATAATTAACAATGTAAAAGAGCGACTATCTCTTTCTATGCAACACAAAAATTGCTATCATTGATCTACCAACATTTTTCGATACCCACTTTTTTTTGTACTTTTTATAAGAAAAATAAAATTGATGGAAGATGTGGAGGATTGTTAAATTATAAAATGCTGTATAGAAATATCTAATTACCTAAAATGACTGTAATTAATTTTAATGAAGTACTAGATTAATTATTATATCGAAATTGATTAACAAGCTGGATGACAATGGCACCAACAAATGAATTACCTGGGTGATATGTCGCAACCCTGTTGCATGAATGCTGCTAAAGCGAACCAAAGGCTGTTGATAATACTGAAATCGTTTGCCATGCTGGAAGTCGGCATGTGAGGAGATCCTTGCGATCCATGGGGGTGTTGCAACGTGGGATCATTTCTCCCTGCCATTGTCGAGTCCGCACTACTGCTGAGAGTCAGCACTCTCCATTCATAGGGCGAGAATCTGTTCAAAACGTCCAGTCTTAACTTTCATATATTTTATATTCATTAAAATTTATTAGAATTCATTTTCATGCTGGGGTATTTTTCTACGAGCACCGAACGAAACTTTTCATACACATAGAAAGAAAAGTCACGAATTTGTAAATATTGGTTGTTTCGCTATCGAGAACGGTAAAATTGTTCGCCGAGATGGTGAATGATTAAACGCTGGGACGATCATTAGGAGTCCGTATTCGGAGAAATCACGCGAGATAGGGAACAGGTAAATAGCTCGAGTGTGGCTGAAATAGAAGCACCGACGATTTATCGCGCGGCTGCTTGCCCGGTAATGTTGCAGCTGGATCGCGATAAATGTACGCGTAATTGTCGCGAGTCCACACGTAACCGTTGCGCTAACGGAGGCGGTAAACAAAGCCAGCCAGGATAATTAACCATCGAGAGAGGAAAAGGCTAAGGGGAAGGTAATGTCGTATGCGGCTAGAGAGTGGCATTGAGTCCACCGATCAATCACGGAGACGGAAATTTCTCTGACAATAAATTACTACCTCCTCGTCATGTTCGTTCTAATTTGCGTTACCGTTCCGTTCGTTTAAAAGTGTATTAGTATGCAGTGCCTCGAATGAGTATTGACATTTACAATTTAACATAATTGCATCCTTTCGTATGAAGTATTCCTCGTTAATTACAAATTTTGCTTATGGGAAATAATACACAAATAATGTAAATGAAATATACAATAATTAATTTACAAATACTTAGCACAATATGAAATGTATAAAAGAAAATGACTTAATTGTAAGATAAGATTTGATTATAATGTGGCGAGATTATTGTCCGCGGTCCAGTTTCCTGGCTCTTGTGCTATGATGACTTCTACTGCTGTGCTTCAGTGCCAGAAGGCAAGTCTACTGACCTGGCCCAGTCTCTCTCTCTCTCTCTCTCTTTCCAGCCTTACTTCTACGAGAGTAAGAGGAATCGCGAGTAGTAAATGATATGTATCAATACAACGTTGTATGAGACGATTCGGAGGATTTATAACTTTTGCTTATACTCTTAAGTGGCTTAAGAAGCTCGCCGCAGCTTATGAAATTAGCAAATCTGTATTTTCGTGAACTATATTCT